GTGCTGACGCACCAGCTCTGAGCCCACCTAGCTCGCTGGGCGAATTGTGAAACGCGAGAGAAATCACACACCTGGTCGCAGAACTAGTACCTGGAGGCGCGGGGTCTCCTGCGGACTAGGCAGAGGTGGGGGTGAGCAGCCAAGGAGACAGGGTCCCATTTGGGGGTGTGGCCACGGGCTGAGAAGGCGGGCTTCAGGCGTAAATGGGACCGCTCGGTGGGCGAGCCCTGCCACAGGACAGAGACTATTCGGGAACGTGCAGGGTGTAGGGACCTCAATAGGAGCAGGCGCGAGGGCTAGGGTGGGGCGGAGCGGAGCTTCTCGAGGAGACGGAGTGGCTGAGCGTGGGGCGGGGTTGCCTTGGGAGAGGGCGTGGCTCAGGCTGTGGGGCGGGTCCTTCGGAGAAGAGGGCGCGGCTGGACGCTGGGCAGGGCTTGAGGGGCGGGGCGGCGGCATGTACTTAAGCAGCCCCGGAGCAAACAGACGCCCCGCCATGGCTCTGAGGCACTTCGTGTCGGTTGTGTCCTCTGGTGCTCCCCGCCTCGCCCCGCTGTCAACGGCGCCGGCCACCCGCGAGCAGCGTGCCGCGGGCCCGGCGACCGTGCTGAGACGCGGGGCGGCCGAGCCCGCGCGGCCGCAGTTTCCCGCCGTGGACTTCGGCAACGCGCAGGAGGCGTACCGCAGCCGGCGAAGCTGGGAGCTGGTGCGCAGCCTGCTGGTGCTTCGCCTGTGTGCCTCGCCTGCACTGCTGGCGCGCCACGAGCAGGTGCGAGGGTGGTCGGGTGGGTGAGCTAGTGCGCAGGGCTTCACAGGGTCCTCTGTCTGTCCCGGTATCAGTTATGAACTTTCAGAATGTAAAGCTGGAGTCTCTTGAGCATGGCCCGTAGCGAGGAGAGTCAGGAAGGAAGGTGTTTCCTGCATTCCTTTTATTTTGCCACCTCTCAGTACTACCAACTAAAAATAAAGAACAATTTAATTTTTAGGCTATATACCACTTGCAGTAATACAGAAGTTGTGACCTAAAATTTAAAATTGAGTGTCCTTCATGTTACCCAAAACGAAATCTAGTGGTATTGAACAGTTCGTAGCCTAGGATCCTGGAGTTCTCCTTTACCCAGGGGCTTCCCAGCCAAGGCCATGATGAACAGCATTGGGAGAAAAAAATGAGAAGCTCAAACACCCAACTTTTAAAGTTTTAATGGCAACTTTGAAGAGAATGAGGGCTTTGGGAAGGGGAGAAACAGAACACTGTCTTAGCCACTGCTACTCTGGGGTACATAGATAGAGTTATTTCAAGGCGAACCTAGGAACGGTTTGCAAGGCTCCAGTGGTTGATGGCGAAGGTCTGGAAGGGCTCTTCATGAAGGTGGTGTCGATTTCTCAGGAGAGACTGTGCTGAAGGCATTGTGCTTCCTCTTTCAACCCCAACGGGGAGGTTGGACCATGGAGGAACACCAAGCCACACTTCAGGCTTTAGGTGAAGGCCAGGCCACAGCAGGTGAAAGATGAGAGCAGAGGCCCACAGAGTTGGAGTTGGGTGGCTCTGAAGGAACTGTGAGGCCAGCACAAGTGTTGACTTGGATCTCTCTGGAAACTGCATGGTCAGATTGAGAATGTAGGACCAATGGGGGAGGGAGGGATATGGAGGAAGAAGGGGCGGAACTGGAGAAGTGGAGGCCTCTGGAGAGCCATTTCATGTTTGTGGCAGCCAGGAATATTCTGAGGTAAAGCTGTGGCCATGGACAGTCCACTGGGAAAGAGGGCAAGAAGGGGCACTCGAGGTGAAGGAAACTGGTGGGGCTTGGGAGGTGATAAGGACCCTTTGGGGAGCACCAACATCTGAGGAGCAGCCAGAAAGGAGTGGCAAGCACTGATGGTGCAGAGGTCAGGAGGGAGGAGGCAATGGGGGGTGGGGGGAGGGCAGGAATGATCTAGAGAGTCAGGATGTGTCTGCCTGCGGAGTCTCTGTGGAGACTCAATGATGGGAACCAGGCTTCCACAGTCTGGGCTTCACGGGACTGCTGGGTGGGTCTGGGATGAGCAGTGGAGAAGCGGTGCCTCCTCTGTGGATGGCAGGGAGGGAGAGAGAGGGCATGGAACCAGCTAGGCCAAATTTCTGTAGATTCAACACTCAGTTTCCATTGCTGGGTTCAAAATCAGCAGAGAAGTCAGCAGACCTGGGGGCCCTAAGGTACCTTGGGAGGGATGTGTCAGCTCTGCTGTCTGCGATGACTGTTAGGCGCAAGTGCCAGAGTACATGGACTGAGCTGTGGGTACATGCTGCCTGTGCCCTGGAAGAGCCCACCGGTGGTGGTCGATGCTCTGCATGCCCCCAGTGGGACCTGTTCTGCCTTTGTCACTACTGGTGATCCCACTCTTGATGGCAGCCTTGATGCCTGGTGCTGGAGGAAAGGGGGCAAAGGCCAAACAGACTACAGAGTTGTGGGCCTGTTCTTCCCTGTCTTCTGGACTGCAGTGAAAATTCTTCCTTCTGAAAATTTGTCCTGTTGAGCAGTTCCAGTCTGTGTAATTCTTGCTGGGGTGTTGGGGGTCATCAAATCTGCTCCCGGGGAAAGTGTTAGCCTGGAAGAGCCAAGTTTGAACTGCTGCATTGGCTTGGGACCCAGTGGGGACCTAACTGAGAAGAGTTTAGAAAATCCAGGTCTTTCATGACAAAGTCTTCTGTGCCTGGGTGTGAGCCAGTGCAGAAGAGGGTGATGGAAGGAGACACTACAGATGGTGGCCCTACAGGGGGCAGGGAGGAGAGAGAACTGGTTTTATCTGTCCTTGCTCAGCATGCATCTATATTTTACAGTGAAAACGAGTGTATGTGTTGCTGGTTGAAGTTTCTAAATCTGGAAAGGATATACCCCCACCCAGAGAAGAGGTGGGGTCATTCTCATCTCAGGTAGTGCTGCCCAGATGGTTACAAAGTGGCCACTTTGTTCTGGAGTTGGCTTTAAAATTGCCAGCCCCACCCCGTATGCTTCCATGGCCCCGTGACAGGCCAGCCTCTCCTTTGCCATGATGAGAGGGTGAATAACTAGCTCAGGTGACCTGGGTGGCCATGTCCTCTGAGCTTTGCCCTTGGAGCAGGAGGTCATTACAAAGGCAGTGGAGGGTGTGACCAGCCCAGAGCCCCAAAGCCCAGCCTTCCTGTTTGTTAATAAAGGGTCAATCTTGTTCCTGCTCCTTTGATCAGTGATGGCTGTGGCTACTTTTGCACTGTAACAGCAGAGCTGAATAGTTATGACAGAGGCCATGTGGCCCACACAGCCTAAATGATTTACCATGTGGCCCTGAATGGGAAAATTTGCCGACCTGAGAGGAGATATTTCCACACATGGTGCGTTCCTGCCAGACCTCTGAGCTGACATGTACACTGTCAGGGGTTCTTTTCCAGAACTGAATGATGGCTGTTCTGCCCTGCTTGCCACTGGGGTGACCTTCAGTATGTTTAAGACACAGCTTCCCCTCCAGTGAGGCTGCTCTGGCCCTGGCTCCACATGAAGCTGGCCAGGATGGTTAGGGGCGAGCCTTGCCCTGTCCTCCTCTGTTGGCAGTTTTGTTTTTAGTTCTCTTTATAAAAACAATAAAATGCAATAAAATTAGACATAGAAATCACAGCAAAATAGAGATGATAGCCTGGAAACTCTAGTCCTTGGGACACCCTGTGGTGCCCACAGGTGTGGCCTTGAGGCATCTCTACTGAGCCCCATCTTGCAGTTCAGAGCAAGTCTGCTTTTGGGCCAGTGTGGACTGCTGGGGAATGATTTGGGAATGAAGATGTTCGACTTGCTCATGCTTTTGCTTAGACTAGAGATTGTTCCTTGAAACCCTGGTCTTAAGAAATGGCCTCCACAAAATAGGGGATTCTACTATCCACTGGGTTGGAGAAACCTCAAGCTTTTCCTGTTGAAGCTGGGGGTAGGGGCAGTGGACACACAGGCATTGCCAGACAGGTGGTGGGTGTGCCCAAGAGGCCTCCAGTTGTCTCGCTTCTCCTGCCCTGGCTGTCCTCATTGTGGCAGCTCCATGTCACCCTCTCACCTTGGCAAGTCCCCCTCTCTGGTATAAGTTAGCAAAACATCTCCCTGTTCCGAATCACTTCCTGCAATTACTTTGCTCCTCCCTCCTTCAGGGTCTCTTCCCCAGCAGAATGTGAGCTCCTCTGGGTCAGCCTAGAATTATCTGGGGCACAAAGCAGCTGCTCAGGATATTTGAATGAACGTTGGCAGAAATTTGAAGGATATTTGAAGAATGTGGGGCAGTTGTCTTCCTCAGGGGCACATCTGTCCGAGCTACTGGTCCACTGTGGCCCTTGATGACTGCTAAGTCCTCACTGATCTCAGGGTGGGCTCTCATCTCACAAAACTTTGTAGGTGGTCACCTGGCTTATTATCAGCCTACACCTCACTCCCTCTGAACTCAGACTCATTCTGAATTTTGTGCTTGTTCATTTGTTCAACAACCATTGGAGAGTTGGCCCTTTGACGGACACTGTATTAGGAACTTGGAATAAGCAGTGAACAAAACATTGAAAAATCTGGGAGCTTGCCTTCTAGACAGTTGCACTAAATCCTTCTCTTCCCCAGCATAACCTTCTGAGGTATAGATACAGAGAACGTTATGAACACGTGCACTGTTCTTCCCAGAGAGACCTGCCATTCTCTTCCTTATCCACCACGCAGTGATCAGGCATCTGCGGAGTACCACTAGGATCCATCTATCAGCATACGAGGCAGGGAGGAAGTGGCCACAGGGGCAGCACTTAGGACCTGCCCTGCATGGGGAGTGGGTGATTGACGTTTGCTGCAAACAGACTAGGAAGCTGCTCTGGGTGGTCTTCACTGTAAAATTGAGGCCTTGAGCTGAGTTTGGCCCTAGGGAGAGCATGTCAAGGCTTTGTGGTTAGGATAAAGGGAATGAGGAAGCAGGATGTCCTGCTGGGGACATAGGAAGCTGGTGGCCCAGGACAGCAACTTTCCTTTGCCTTTCAGCTGCTTCATCTCTCCAGGAGATTTCTGGGACAAAAGCTATTCGACAAGCTAATGAAGATGACCTTCTATGGTCATTTTGTGGCTGGCGAGGACCAGGAGTCCATCCGGCCCCTGATCCAGCACAACAGGACCTTTGGTGTAGGCTCCATCCTGGACTATGGTGTGGAGGAGGACCTGAGCACTGAGGAGGCGGAGCGCCAGGAGATGGAGTAAGACCTGCCCGGCGTCTGGTGGTATCCCAAAAGCACCCCAGGGAGGCCTGGTCTGGGAGGAGGCCAAGGCTAGGAGAGATTGGTCAGCCTGATTACCTGCAGCCCTCCTGGGTTCAGCTTGGGGTTCTTGCATTTTTGCCCTGTGAGGCTGACAGTTCTGGACTTTCATGGGAGGCTTGGTGTGTAGGAGGCCTGGTGTATGCAAGGGAGGCCAGAGTAGTGGTAAAGATAGGGGTCTGCACACTATGGCCTGCAGCTGATCTCACCCACTGCCTGGTTTTGTACAGTCTGCAAGCTAAGGATGGCTTTGCATTTTAAAATGGTTGAAATAAATCAAAGCAAGAATGATATTTTGTGACATGTGAAAATTATATGAAGTTCAAATCACTTTCACCCTATAGGGACAGAGCTGAATAGTTGTGTCAGACACCGATGGCCTGCAAGGCTGAGAATAGGGCTCCCCAGTTGTTACAAAAGATGTGCCTACTCTGGCGTGGGAGGTTTCCTGCACCTGCTGGGTCGGGGAGAGGATCCCACTGCCCCACCCTTGCCTGGGCTCTACCTGGTGGGTTTGGAGCCTGCCCACGGCTCCATGAAAAAGGGATGTGCAGCCAAGAGCAGTGTGGTAGGCTGGCCTGAGGTCACTGACTTGCTGTGGGCTTATTCTCTGGACAGTGAGTGTGGGAACAGATGGGTACTTCCCTGACCCACCTGCTGGGTCAGAATTGGAGGTCACCCTCTGCTTCCTGGAGTAGTGGCCTAACGGGGTGTCCAGACAAGACCAGCTCTTTCTTTGCAAAACACCTAGTTCCTGTGCTGGTGCCTGCACCCCTTTGGGCCAGGCCCTCGGTTGCATCTGAGGCCCCAAGTCCTGACAGCAATTGTGCCTGACCCACTTGAGGCTGGGAACAGGCCTGCTGAATAACCTTCCCATCCCAGGCTGTGGTGTTTGCTCTGGCCCAGGGAGAAGAAGGGAGGAGAGAGAAGTGAAAGGCATCACATGAGTTTCCTGCCCTGGGAACAGAATGTCCAAGCCTTGTGGCTGCTGATTGGCTTAGGGAGTCCAGCCCCTGCCTAGTGATTCGCTGTCTCAAATGTGGGGTTTTCCAGCTGAGCATCCCCTCTGTTCTTAGTGGGTGGTGCCTGCCTATTGACTGACTAATGGGCTCTGTGTCCCCATGTCAGGGGGAGGGCTGGGTGGTTTCACAATTGAATTTTCTTTCTCTGGTATGAAAAGACTCCTTTCCCAGGGTAATCCATCTGACTTTCCCCCTGCCCTGTGGAGGGAGCATGGGGAAGTATGCTTGCCTTGCCCTCCTCTTGGTGCCCTTCATCCTGCAGGAGCCCTGCTTGATGGGCTCTGGGACATGAGTGGCAGTCCTCCATCCTAACAGGGTGACTGCCATCTGATGCCAGTGGCAGGTATCAAGGATGCATGCCCAGCTCTGCTGTCGGTGGCCCTGTGCCTTCAAGGGGCCTGGGCTGAGGTGCAAAACCAGGCTTGCTGGAGCTGGTCAACCACTCACACCATCAAGTTGCCTGCCTGGCTCACTGGGTGTTCCTGGCCAGGAGTGGTTCTAACCACACAGCCCCATATGGGGAACTGCTTTTGTGTCCTGGTGGGGCCCAGAGAGCTGTCTTCCTACCCCTGACACAAGGGCCATGGACTCTGCTCTAGGGAGTAATACAGAGGCCACTACTCCCAATTAAGGCTGTAAGCGGGGGGTGCTGGGCCTGCCTTCAGCATAACTGTAAGAGGAACAGCATGGATGGAGGCATCTGAATGTGCAAGAGGCCCAGCAGGCCTCCTGAAGGGATGATGAAGGGACCTAGGAAGGCTTCTCAGGGTAGGAAGCAGGAGGTGAGAGGCCAGAAGTGCAAGAGGGAGACAGTAGCCACCTAGGGAGGGGGTAGGATGGTGATTTTCACACTTGTTAGAAGACAGGGGCCAGGGCTTTGACTCTAGGAGAGGAGCCCCATAAGGGTCCCCTTAGCAGGCTGGGAGCCATGGGCATGGAAAAAGGGCCTTGGGCACGTTACTACTGATTGGCTATGATAAGGACACGGGGGACAGTGTGGATGGCAGGTTTGTCTGTCCCGTTTGTGCAGACCCAGGAATGACTGGAGGCTTCTTGGGCCTTGGTCCCCAGAACAGTGGCGTCTTCCCTGGGACTAGTGTGCACAGATCGTCTCAGGTGCTGCCTGGAGCCAGGGTCTGGGGAAGCCAGGGAGACACGCGTGCAGGCAGGAATGATCCCTGCAGACTTTGCCAGGCTTCTCTTTCTCCTCTTGCCACCTGGCCCGTATTTCACCAGTGGAGAGCTAGGGTGAGGGTGGCTAGCATGGTCTCCCCTCACTTTCTGCTTTTCTCTAAAAGGCATCTAGTCAACAAAGCACAAGATACAGCTGCCAAGAGCTGAGCTTAGAGGCAGCCGAAGGGGTGGTTGGGGTCTTCCTGTCACCTCTGCATGCCCCCTGGGGAATGAGTGTTCTTCCTTCTCTGCTGCCTGCCCCTAGGTGTCCTCTGTTCCCTCCTCTATGTCCTGGGCCATGCACATGTGTGTGCATGCATGCATGCTTGTGTGTGTGTGTGTGTGTGTGTGTGTGTGTGTGTGTGTGTACTGGGTGCTGTCCTTTCTTCTTGTGGTAAAGTGAACTCCACCACTGCTGTCTTTGTCTCCTCGTGACCCATCCACCTGACCATGAGGCTGTGCAGTCCCGCCTGGCTCCTCTGCCTGGGCCATTTCTAAATTACTTCCCTTCTAGTCTGTGCCTAGGAGGTTCATGGCTTCTGGCTGCTTTCCTGTCATGGAGCCTGCTAGGAGCAAGAAGGAGAGTGCTCCCCCACCCCAGTCTGGCGGAGCCAGCCAGGAGAAAACCTCACATGGCCCCAGGCCCTGGGGACCTTTCAGATAGATAACGGTTTCCATCTCTGATAGAAGTCCTTCTGCCTAGCAGGCAGACAACTGCATCCTTAATGCTTACCTTAACTGAGCTGAGGACTGTGTGGTCACAGAGCAGGCCTGAATCCCGCCAGCCACCATCCTTGCTGACCAGGCTCCTGCCTTAGCATACCTAGTGGGTTCCCATGTTGTGCTTCCTCCTTAGTGGATGGCTTTTGCCTGGTTGTATCTGAGCCACAGCTTGAAGGGCCTGGGGCTTGTAGGTACCCCTGCCTGGGGGCCTTGGGGTGGGTTGGCGGTGGGGAGCTCCTTGTCCCCAGCAGGGATGTTGTGTGTGGGGCCAACATGGTCATACACCTCATCCTCTTCTGTTACATCAAGTATTTTTTTCTGGTTGATATGAGGTAGTCAGACCAGCAGCTGCCTGCCTAGCTCCCGTTCCCATCTCTAGGCTGTGGCTTCGTGGGCTATACTACTGCATGGAGAGCCCCCTGCCCCTGCGAATTGGCCTGGCTGCTGGGACTCCCAGGGCTTAACCTAGGCATTCTGGCTCAGAGTCCCAGATTTAGGCCCTGAGGTTACACAGAAGCCAGGCAGGGAGGGAGGGCCCCCTGGAGGGTGGCTGGGTAGCCTAGGACCTGATCTGGGAGCAGTGAGGTAAAAGCTGTCAGCCTCTTAACACATGTGAGGCTACCAAAGGTGCAGGTACCTCCCAGGGGCTTTTCTGGTGTTATCTTGGCCCAGAGTGCCCTGGGCGAAAAATTACACCCTTTGTAGGATGTGAGCAGAGCTGTGGGCCCCCTCCCTTAGCATTTTGGCAGTCATGTGATGGCTGTGGGATTGCAGCTGAGCCCTCTCCGTGGTTACTGACTTAAGGGGCTTTAAATACAAAGTCAGATGGTAGAGCTGCTGGGGGGCCACCCTTGTGGGCAGTAATGGTGAGATGATGAGATTTAGCAATGACTCTTGCTGTCTCAGACTCTGGGGCCACTGTGAGGAGGAGGTTGGTGTCTGTTGTGATGCCTGTGGCGATGGGGGCAGGCCAGGCTGGGCCAGTGAGGGCATAGCTAAGGGACTGTAGAGAGGCCAGTGTAGCCAGGCTGAGCCTCTGCTGGGTGAAGTGGGGGCAGCCAGGGCCAAGGGCTGGCCTCACTATCCTGTCTTCATTAGGCCTGGAGGTGTTATTTGGATATGATGGGAGGGTTTGCATTTCAAAAGAAAATTTTCAGTTGCTGCTTGGAAAATAAGCCTAATGGGCAAGAATGAAGCAAGGTGCTGGTCCTAGCAGTTGTGTCTAGAGGTAGGGGCAGGAAGTAGACCTTGGGTCCCCAGTGGTTGGAAGTGCCTGGATGTTGAGGGCAGGTGGGAAAGCAAGGGACTTTGCTCCTCGGTTTGGAGGATTTTGTACGCTGTCTTCATTCCTCATGAGCCCTGACTGGCTCCACAGCCCTGTCTTTTCCTCAGAAGGAATGCCCGCATAGCTTAGCTAGCTTCAAGGACTTACTCCATGCCCTTGGCTGCTCAGAGAACCATCTAAGTATCAGGCAGTTTTGTCCCTTACCCATGCTAGGGAGGGGCTCCACCCATGGACAGCCTGAGGCTTTTCCAGGGCACAAGGCTTGTAAGCCAGGTTGGTGTAGAGGCTGTTGCCCCTCCCACCTCAGAGGAGGTGACTCTGGAGGCCTGGGCCTGGGCGGGTGGGGTTGGTGAGTCACTCTTACCTGCCCAGGCTAACCCAGCCCTCCTCACACAGCCTTCTTTGGTCAAGTTCAGGGCTCAGTCTCTAGTTTCTTCTTACTGCCTTCCTGATAGGAATGTACTTATCACTTGTGCCTGAGGGGGCATGACCCAGACCCTTGCCTTATTCCTTCCTACAGGTCCTGTACCTCCGAGGCAGAGAGGAAGGGCAGCGGTGAGTAAGAGGCAAGCCATTCACCAAGGAATGCTCCCCCCCTACTATTCCACCCTCCACTGTGGCCCGGGGCCTGGGCTAGGTACACAGGCGAGCCCAGGGAACAAGGGGGCAGTGCCAAGTTCCTCCCTGTGTCCATGGGCAACCAGGCCATTGCTCCAAGTATGCTGACACATTCTCATGGCCCTCAGTCAGTCTGGGCTCTGCCTTCCTGGCCCAGGTCTGCCATGTGACTAGGGCTCAGCCAGGGAGAAAGTGCAGTGGGTGCTTGGGTATTGGGGGGCATCCTGCAGCACAGTGCAGGGGTGCTGTGGGGCTTCCTGGAGCAGTTCCTTGTGTGCTGGGGCTGAGGTTGGGACCAGAGCACAGTGCATAACTGCGTGAGTGCTTGGGCCATTTGCAGGCACCAGTAAGAGGGAGAAGCAGTACCAGGCCCACCGGGCCTTTGGAGACCGCAGGGACGGTGTCATCAGTGCCCGCACCTACTTCTACGCCAATGAAGCCAAGTGTGACAGCCACATGGAGACATTCCTGCGCTGCATTGAGGCTTCAGGTGGGGCCCGACTCTTTGCTGGCTGTCCACCTGCCAGGCCCAGCCCCAGCCGACACCTGGCATAGGGAGGCGTGGTGGATGAATGGGAGGCCAGGGCTGGAGCCCTCCCTTGGGGCTTCCTCTCTGTCTGGGTGGCCCTGAGTGTTGTGAGGATGACCTAAAGTGACATGGAGGAGCCACAGACTAGGTTCAAGTCACGCTGAGGTCACATCTGTGTTCAACACCTCCACAGAGAACTCAGCTGCCTCCTGTCCCTTTCCTGGGAACCAAGTGCCTGGACATGGACTGTTGGAGAGGCTGTCAGTGGGCTAGTGGCCCCTAGTACTTGGGTCTGCTGAGGGCTGCACGGTTCAGGGAGCTGGTGCCACATCCTCTTTAGTAGAGTCCTACCCACGCAACTTTGGGGCACGAGTACCTGCCTGGGAGGCCAGTTACGTCGGGAGGTCACTGAGGCCTCCACATCCTTTAGTCTTCAGAAACCCACCAGGTCACAGCGCTGCTCCACTGTGCGTCCTCGGCAACCCTCCTGTGACTGGAAAGTGTGTCCCACACCTTCTGAACACTTTAAGGAATGGATATGAGCGATGATCAGAAGCAGCCTTCTAAGAATGATGCTGGGGAGACCCCGGCCCATCAGGCAGATGCTCAGCCATCCAGTGTCCAGTGCCAGGGGTGTTTCCTTGCCTCCCTGCCCTTTCTGCCTGGGGGCAAATAGACAGGATGGTCCCGCAGAAGCAAAGACAAACTCTGGAAGTGAAGATACAAATGTGGTGGTGGAGTGCTTTCCAACTCTCCAGGCTGTGTTTTTGCTTTGTGTTTCTGTGTTCTGTAAATCCACCATGGGCAACCTGGGTGCCAATGGCACGAGAGAGGAAACTGAGGCAGGGGAGGGGGTGATCATTAGGACTGTGTAGGAATGGGTACTGCCTTCCTAACTCATGTGGCAAACACAAACCTTGCCAAGCCACCCTTCCCACCTTTGGGGTGGGGCATCTGGAGCAGCTATTTACACTGCAGTTACGGGTAAGCACAGGCTCCTGGTCTTCCCCCTCCCCCTCTAGAGCTCTAAGGGTTCTTCCTGTGGCTCCCCATAGGTACAGCCAGTGATGACGGTTTCTCAGCCATTAAGCTCACTGCGCTGGGGAGACCCCAGTTTCTGGTAAGTGTGGGAACCATCCATGTGCAGAGAGAGTTTGCAAGAACTAGAGGCTGCTGTGAGCATTCAGTGAAGGCTCCTGTGCTGGTACCTTGGGGCTGGGAGCCAGGTGTACAGGTGGGACGGGGAGGGGCCCAGGGGCTATGCGAGCTGTCTGGGGGCAGGGAGCTGGGTATGCACTCAAGACAGGGGCTCAGGCCTGCATCTGCAGCTGCAGTTCTCAGATGTGCTGACCAAGTGGAGACGGTTCTTTCACCACATGGCTGCAGAGCAAGGGAATGCCGGACTGGCTGCCATGGACACGAAGCTGGAGGTGGTGGCACTGCAGGTGGGCAGCCCTTCCCTGGTGGTGGGAGCAGGTGGGCACTGTGGGACTGGGAAGGTGCCCTGCCCAGGAGGAACTGGCTGGATGGTATCTGAGGTGAGTTTCCTGAACTGCTCCAGGACCTGCAACTCACCCTGAAGCTGCTAGGGTTCAGCTTGGAAAGAATCTGACCAGAGGCTAAGGATGCACTGGGCTAGGGGATGGAGGGGCTGGTCCCACAGGTAACAGGCCACTGTGGAACTGTAGGGACAGGAAGGGGCATCAGGAATGGGTGGGGATAGACCCATCTATGGAGCAGAAACACAAGCCTGAACCGTATCCTGTTTTCACTAATGGTGTAATCAAGTCAAAATTGATCACAACCCAACAGGCGGGGGGACACCAGGGGACTGATGCCTTTTCACTTTTCAAGGAAAGCGTGGCGAAGATGGGCATCGCATCGAGGAAGGAGATCGAGAACTGGTTCACGGCGGAGACCCTCGGTGTGTCCGGGTAAGAGCAGTGCCTGGCCGAGAAGACAAGGGTATCTGTTCTGGTTCTGCCATGGTTCCAGCTGAGTTTCAGCAGCCTCTCCCAATCCTGATTACTCTCCCCAAGTGCATGGGCCTGAGGGTGCTGGCACCAAAGGAACTGCTCCTCTGAGATGCACAGAATGGGAGTTGATGGAGCCGGAGTCCGTGGATGGGGGCAGCAGCTTGGGCACAGGACTAGTTCGCCCCGGGCCCCGCACAGCAGACAGGTGAAGCATAGGGTAGCTGAGGCCCTAGAGAGTCCCAGGCATCATTCGTAGGGTGCTGGGGGCTAGGACCGAGGTTACCAGGGCCCCTGGGCTGGCAGCAGGGTGCTGTCTACTTGCACGCTGTCTAATCCTGCCGTGTTTGGCTCTTCCCCCAGCCTGGCATGGCCTGCGGTGTTCTTGGTGCATGCCTCGAGTTTTCATAGTTGCTGCTGCCCCGATGCAGATCACGTTTATGTTTTGGTTTCCATTTTTTAAACTGAGGACGATGTTTACATTTTGTCTTGAAACTGAACGCTGAGGCGGTTTCTTTGAGGGTTTGGTTTGGGGGCGCTCTTATAGAGAATGGGCTAGTTTAGAGTTTGGGTCCCCCAGCAGATCCTAGCCCCTGTGGATAAAGCAGCCTGGCCAGGTGGAAGAGCTGCTCCTGCCACTCTGCTGACCCACCTTCTCCCATAGCACCTTGGACCTGCTGGACTGGAGCAGCCTCATCAACAGCAGGACTGAGCTCTCCAAGCACCTGGTGGTCCCTAACATGCAGGTAATGCCACCCCCTTCGCCACTGAGCCTCGTCTCAGGATGTTGGGCCAGGAAGGGAAATGTTCCTTGTTGCCTACCCTGGGCCAAGACCGCTGTCCTCCCTGGCCCCGCGAGACCTCTGTGGTTCAGGGGGAAGAAGACAGACACAGTGGTGGCCCACAGGGTGGGACAGAGACCCACGAGGAGAGGGGTGTCAGAGGGAGCCTTCCGTATATCATCGGGGGTCATCCCAAACCTCACTGGCCTGAAAGTGCAACACGCATTATTCTCCCTCATGATTCTGGGTGGTTTGCTCTCAGGGTTTCCCTCATAGTTGTACTCAGAGTGTGGCGGGGCCTGGGGCCACCATGGAGGGTCCCCATTCACATGGCCAGCTGTCAGCCAGGGCTTCCTCACCATGTGGCTGCTGGTTCCCAGCGGGAGTGTCCCCACAAGCCAGGCTAAGCTCTATCACCTTTTCTAGCCTAGCCTCAGAAGTCTCACAGCATCACTTCTGCCTGATTCCATTGGTTAAAAACAAGTCACTAGGATCCTGTGTTCAAGGGGAGAAGGATAAGACTCTATCTGTCCATGGGTGGGTATCCAGTAATTTCCAGTCATATTTGAAACCGCCTCTTAAGCTGGGATGTAATGCAGCAGCAGAAATGCCTTGAGAAAACATCCCACAAACACTGCCTTCTACAAGCCTCAGCTGAGGGCTCAGCCCCCAAACTGAGACACTGAGGCCCCACTGGGAGTACCCTGGGCAGAGTTAGTAGACAAGTGGGATGAGCAGAGGGCCCCAGTGCTACACAGGCCTACAGGGTGGGTGCCCACCACCTCTGAGCACCAGCCCACTGCCAACCTGCCCAGCTCCCTAAAGGCCACCATCTGGGAATGATGCCTTCATCCCCCGCTGTGTGGCAGGGGAACCTGTAGCTATGATACTTCCTCCAAGCCCTCTTCCTGCTTGGGGCTGAGTCTTTCCTGGTGATTGGATGGCTCAAGGGTAGCTTCCTTAGCATTGTGTGGAAGCAGAAGGGAGACCCCGTGAGGGTATTGGGGAGATACTCTGGTACAGGCCTGACCTGAGGCAGCTGGCTCTGTGAGTAGGAGCGTGCTGGCTGGCTGGCTGGCTGCAAGGTTATCCCTCCATGTGGCCTCATTGCTGTATCATCAGCAAGCCTCAGGGCAGGGCACTGATCTTCAGGCACAAACAGGGTGGAAGGAGGACCAAGATGAGGCAGCCTTGCTGGTCTTGGGGACCAAGAAACAGGTATCGGTAGGCTCTGGGTGGGGGAAGCACTGGTGTGAGAGAGGTGTGGTCTGGGGCCCTGCTGTGGCCTGACCGCATGCTGCCCCTTCAGACAGGACAGCTGGAGCCTCTGCTGTTGGGGTTCACCGAGGAGGAGGAGCAGCAGATGACAAGGATGCTGCAGAGGATGGATGTCCTGGCCAAGGTCGAGGGCCTCGGATGTGCCTGGGCATGTGTGTGTGTAGGGGTGGGGACCCTGTCTCACCTGAGCCCCAAACAAACCCTCTCTTCCTCTCCTGACCTCTAAGAAAGCCACTGAGGTGGGTGTGCGGCTGATGGTAGACGCTGAGCAGACCTACTTCCAGCCAGCCATCAGTCGCCTGACTCTGGAAATGCAGCGCAAGTTCAATGTGGAGAAGCCACTTATCTTCAACACGTACCAGTGCTACCTCAGGGTATGGTGCCTGTT